AAACAAGAATATAATTTTTAAAGATACTATACAACCCACTAAAACAGTGCCTAGTGTTCAAATCAGGGTAGGCATTTTGCACATATTGTTTGGAACATGCTCGCTGTTCTTGCAGCTCATGATAATTTCCACACAGCAGATGTTTGGGCTTGGAACTGAACACAGGGGCCTAATGTTCTTAAAGGTTAATGAGTATTTAAACAAGCCATTTGTCTCAGTCAAATGCACCCGCAGAATCAAAGACAGCGTCATCTGCCAATTAAAGGGGATGAAGCGCCTGGGCATCTGTCAAACAGGGAGGCAAAGGGTGTCAAAGCCTCCGCCTGAAAGCAGAGCCAGAAGGCCGGGAAGAAAGGAAAAATCCTCCAGGACTCCTGCTGGAGAGTCGTCAATGCAAGCAACAGACTGAGCCAGGCCTCGCATCTAAAAATCCAGGGCAGGCGGGCACCTTGTCTGAGGAATACATTTTATTAAAAGGCATGTGTTTTGGGAAAAGTTGCCACAGTAGCAGAATCACTATGATTCCCCCCCCTCACCGTACGCTAACGGGGTGCTCCTCTTAGGAAGGGGATGAGCATCTCTTAAAACGAGTTAAGATGTCATAGGCTGGAAAATCAAGATAGGCAGCTGCAAATAAGTCCTCCCCCTCCCCCCTCCCATAGTGTATTTTTTGATATTGCAGGCACCACAAGCACCTCTGATAGAGTGGCCGGGAGGGCGGGAGGGAGGGAGGAAGGAAGGCGTGTAAACTACAGATATTTGATCTAGAAGAGCTGTATGGATATTTTCCAAGCCTCTAGTCACAACATGGTGACAAGTCTCCACTTGCTTTATGTTCCGCTGTTTTCTGTAGGAGGTATTTGAACCCATATACAGAATATCCCCCCAAATCCCCCCCAAAAGCTGAGATGCTTCTGTTTATGCCAGTTTTCCACTTTCTAAATTCCAGGAAGCAACTACAGATCTGACGCACACTATGGCTACAAGTGAAAAACATTTAATACGATCACAGCGATCCTATTACATGAAGTGATCACCATTCTTTATGCACTCATTGGCAAGGTGGTACTCCAGCTCTGTTCAGCAAAACAACTTTGAGACAAAAAATAATTAAAAATTCCATTGCGCAGTTAACCTTTTGGTTGCTTCCTGGTTAAGTCCGCTTTATACTCTTGGCAAAATTACAGAAACGGTTTGATGCCGTCTTCCTCCATTCCCAGTACATCTTACGCCTTCAGGGTATCCTAGTGGTCTCCGTCCAGGTACTAAACCTTGTTTAGCTCTTGAGAACTTAGCATTGATCTGAATGGAGTTCTAGCTCATGCAAAATTCAATTGGATTCAGGACTGCTACTTTTGTTCCTGTAGTTCACAACTGTGTTCTAAGTATATTCATTCACTACTAAAAGGTTCGGTGCTGCCACATTTAAATTACACATGAAGAATATTAAACTGGTGGTTCTAAAGCAAGGCCTCAGTTACTGATATTGTTGCCGTCCTTTGGTCTCTCTCAAGATGGGCCTGTTCTCTCCACACATTTTCTACAGCAGAGTTTCTCAAGCTTGGCAACTTTAAGATGGGTGGACTTCAACTCCCAGAATCCCTTGCTGGCTGGGGAAATCTGGGTGTCGAAGTCCACCCATCTTACAGTTGCCAAGCTTAAGAAACCCTGCTCCAGAGTGCTGAGAAGCTGATGTTACTTCACCTTCCTTTGAAGCAAATTGGGGCAACGGAAAATTAAATCCAGACGCACCATTTCTAAGAGAAAAAGGCCTCTGAACACCCAAGCAGCATTACGGACACTGTTTTGAATCCTGATTTCATCTTGGATAAGAATGTAAATATTACAAATTTGTTTCCTAGTCAGCAAGTTTCTGCACTGACTCTGAACCCCTCCCAGATCACAAGGGAGCCAGCCCTGTACGCCAGCGTGGTCAGCGCTGCCAACGACAGAACAGCCTGCTCCCTGGAGAGAAAAGACTCTTCCAACTTCTCTAAACCTGAGCGTGCTTCCCAGAACACCCATCGGCCAGTAATCAATCAATCAAGGTGGGCAGGGACATGAATGAGTCTGCTGCAGCAGTCAAACAGCCCTGCTATCGATCTCAGGAGGTCCAGAGGGGGCCTGGTAACTTCAGAGTAACTTTTAGAAGTTGATGCAATGATCAAGCAGCTTCTGAAGAAAGCTGCAGGCGATCTTGTCGAGTTTCACTTCCCTTTTAGATTAGTTTAAGGGCAAGAGTTTCCCCTCGAGGAAGCTGTAGAATCCTGCCTGCAGAGTACAGCTGTTCCACGTAGAGTGATATGAGGGTCTGGATTCATCAGATGCAGATGGGGATGGGAACTGCAGTCCAGCACATCTGCAGGTCATCGGCCCACTAAAGTTGGCAAGGCAGGAGAATGAAACCTGAAAGGAAGAATAAGAACCACACCACGCCTAAAGATAGAGCAGCCGAGGCTTTTCAAAATGTCTTCCAGCAACAAATGATAGATTTTTCATCATAAGGAGGATCAGAAGCTTCTAGCGAAGGTGTGAAGGAACAAAGGGCTTTTTCTGTGCATCCTGTCTCTGCCTAAGGTTCCTCTTCTTTCAACCAAAATAAATACGAATCATGGCCCCTCGGAAGAAACCGACTTCAAGGAAATGTCTCAGAGTTTAACAGCACGGTAACCCATTCAGTTGACTATGGAATACTTTAGACCAGAGGTGTCCAACCTTGGCAATTTTAAGATGTGTGAACTCCATTTCCCAGAATTCCCCCGCCAGCCTGAGATATTTTCAAATACAATACTCAATATATTTGGACAATGCACACACCCCAAATTAAAGAAAAAAATCTTAGTTGGTTTGTTAAAGAATGCAGAGCGCTTGTGGCGTGAGGGACTCATTTAATTCAACAGGAAGAGAGGCTAGAACACAAGGTTTCACCACACAGGAACTCCATTCACATTAACTGAGTAATTAACATTTTCTTCCATGGCACACAGCAACAGCAACAGCATTTAGAAGGTTCACATGCTGATATTCTATCTATATCCCTAGCACAACAATATGCCAGGAAAGCTAAAAAACCCACAAAATATCAGAGAACATGAAGCCATTTGCTCAAGACTGGTTACTAAAAGAATTCATGCTTAACGCCCTTCAACATCCAGTCTGAGCAATTTTTCTTGTAAGTCCTTTCATTTCCTGATAATTTCTGGACACTCAGCATTCAGCGCTACAGCCCTGTGACATTTCAGCAAGAACCAAAGGAACATCCTTTCCTTGAACCAACTGTTCTCTTTCACGTTTGATGAGAAGTTCAGGCCAGCCTTTCAGGAGGCCACCATGCTCTGAGGAAGCAAAAATGGCAGCGGCCATGTTGGGGACTTCCCCCCACCCAGGGTCTTCTTTTGGGGTCAACCGGTGGTATAGCTCAGAGCTAGGCGAGGCTGGGAAAGGTTCTGCTCTGGAGCCCTGTGTTCCTGCTACAGACCAAGTCAAAACACAGAACCACCTTCTTCTCCAGTGTTTCTGAGTGCAACACGAGAACCCAGTCAATAGGGGAGTGAACTACTTGGCACAAAGATCAAGTTCACTTTCAGAAGTTTCTAAAATAGTTCTCAGTCAGTTGGACCTATTGCCTTGAGTGTCATGTTTTATCCCTCTCTGTTGCTGCTTTGGCTATAGAATCAGGCTATGTCATCCTTTCAGGAAGATCACCGTTGGGTACATCTGCTGTTCACTATTTGGATTGAAATGAATGACATGCACACCAAAATTGCTCAAGTAAACCTGGAACCAAAACAATAAACTCCCCAAAACAAATTCTGGATCAGTGAAGTAAAATGATCCTGCCAAGACTGCGCTTTCAAATGTTACTTTCCAATGCTTTTTGGGTTTTAGCCCTGGTAGGCCCAAAGCAGCACCCCAATGATATATTATTTGAGACCATAGCAAAAAAGATCTACAGGGCACCAAGTGGCCAATGGCTTCTACTGCTAGGTGGCTCAATACAATTATGGGAAATAAGTAAAAACAAGAACAGAAGACCAAAGTTGTAAAATCTGTATATAAAAAGCTTGAGCAATAAAAACTGGTTATCTCGGAGAAGAAGAAAAACATTCTACTTTATCAAACAAACAGTACAAATTGCAACTAGGTCACACAGGCAGTTCAAAGATTCATCAAGGGTGTTTCTACTCTCTTATCACATATAGTAATCATTACCCCTGGTCACGAAAATGCTCTCCCTTTCACCACGGCACCGGGATAGTTATTGCTGCGCATTAACAGATTAATAAACGATTGCTTTTTGAAAACTGTTGCTTTAGGAACCAAATGTGGAAAGTGCCGCTATGGCTTGCAATTCAGATGGTGGCTCCCCGCTCCCTCCCCCGCCTTGTCATCATCATCTTTCTGTAGCCCCCCAAAGAGGAAGGGGTGCTGGCAGGACGAGGCCCTTCCACGGGCTGCAAGAGAAGCCCACCCAGGGGAACCCCTGCCCGCAGCCCTAAGCAGCCTCCCTAGGAGAGGCTCTGGCCAAAGATAACGCTGCCAGGGGGAGACCCCTCAGAAGGAGGGGGGCTAGTCTGCGCTACCCCTTCCCAAAGCCCCCCTGCTTTCAGCTGGCCAGGCCGGGCCCAAAGGGGGGGCGGGGCACCGCCTGCCAAGGGCCAAAGGGGCGGGCCCCACCCGGGCAGAGGTGCCCCCTCCGGCCCAGACAGGCCACCAGGGAGGCCACGGGGGCTGGCAGGAGCCCCCAACCCCTTTCCGGGGGGCAGCAGGACTGAGCCACCCTTCGGGCCCCGCGGGGAGCCCACGGGGGAAGGAAGCGGGGGGGGGCTGCGCGGGCCCCCTCCCAGGGCGGGGCCGCTGCACAGGGGAGGCTCCCGGACAGCGGAAACGGGGCGAAGGGGGGGCGGAGAGGGAAGGAGGGCCGCCCGCGCGCCATGGAAGTTGGAGTCCCCCGCGGGCGGCGGCGGAGGGGAGGGCGGGAGCCGCCCGGCGCCGCTCACCGATGGTGGAGATGAAGGTGGTGTTGAAGGCGTCCTCGCTGAAGCGGAAGAGCAGGCACGTCTTGCCCACGCCCGAGTCGCCGATCAGCAGCAGCTTGAAGAGGTAGTCGTAGGTCTTCGCCATCTTCGCCGCCGACTGACGGGCGGGCGGGGGGGGCGAGCGGGCGGGCGCCAGCGCTGGGCGGGGCCGGGACGCGCGCGCCAGGACGCGGCGGCTTCCGCGGGATGACGGGAATTGTGGTCCGAGGCGGCTCCCCCAGGCCCGCACTGCGCATGCGCCACGCCCGAGAGGCGGGGCTCCCTAAGGGACGAGCTGTTTCGCAAGAGGGGCGGGCCCGGCTCCTGAACGCGGGGCCCGATTCTGGCCTGGTTGCAGGTGCCTGGATCCGGCGAGCCGGGCGTTACCCGAGAAGCCTCGTTATGATCTTGGGCGGGCCTCCCGCCTGCACCGGTGCACGTGCTTAGCGATAGGTAGCCTTTGTTTCTATGATTTGATGACACAACGCACGTCAAACAGTTGCCCCTTTGAGTCGCCCCACTAATGCGCCCCCTCCCCTTTCCCATCTTCACCAATTGCCCTGAAGAAACTGGAGCCAGCGCGAGAGCATGGCACGGCCGTTTGGCCAGTTCTAGTCTTTGGCTCCCTGCCACCCCTGGGGACATCTGCTGTGCCAGCTCCTTTTGAAATGAGTAACCAGCGAGGAAGAGGGTTTGACTTACTGCAAAGACCCATCTATTTCAGCGAAGTACAGAAGAACTGCCTGCAGAACCAGTGCTAAACAAGGCTCCCTTTGAGAAGCAGATATTTCTGATGTAGAACAGTCTGATGGATGAGTTTCTTCTCCTGCTGAGCATGAATTCGGCACATCTTAAATTTTCTCTTAGGATCAAGCTGCTTTGTCATCTGGGTCCGAGATGGTTTTCTGAAAGTAAGGTTGGCCGTGCCGTGGATAAAACAAAGGAAATCAGCGTTTTGAAATGAAAAACAATCTAGCATGGTATTTCTTTTTCTGAATCAATCCGCGAGGTGCTTAATGACACCAGAGGATCACTTTCCCTTTTCCTATAGAGGTAATTTGGTCTTGTTACTCTGATGTAGCTACAAAGAAAGAAGCAATTTGGTCTCCCAGATTCTGTAATCTACATCCCCTCTAGAAAAGCAGCAGATTCAGTTGAAGAAACAGGTAGCGCCAATTGAACAGTGCAAACATTATAAAGTGTTTATTGATTAAGGGATACAAAAGGTAATCAGGTTCTAAATTCTAAATACAATTTTACATTATCAGCAGCTAGCTTAAGCAGTTGGTGGACCCCCAGATCAAATGGGGTTTAACTATCATTCGTGTTCAGCTTTTTAAAAGCAAGACATGGGACAATATTTGGCACTTAAACCAATTACACTAGTAGATCATTCCATATTTCAAAGTCGGAATGGAATGTGTTTCTGATTAACCATCCATTATGGAAGAAAAGAAGGAAAATGGATCATCCTCTTCAAAATCTACCTTCTCTGCACTGGTTCCTGAAGAGTTTAAACACCATCCCTTTAATTTTAATCTGAATCTTTATTGTAAATCTAACATTTATGCAAGTTCAAGGTTGTGTCTTCTTTTAAAGACAGTTTAAAAGGGGATGGATCTCAACCTTTACTAAAAAGCTGAGAAAATTTTCAGAGAAAAATTCACCAGCCAGGAACAGCAGCATGTTGATTAGTTTTCCTAACTCCCCAAAAAATATTAACCTACCAGAGAAATTGCTGACAGGTTTAATAAAACAGAAAAGGTATAATGGACACTTAAATTTCCAGGGACATTCTGGGACAGAGTTTCTGAAACAACACCTGTATGAGAGGTTTCTAGGTACAGCTTGAATATTGATTTGAAAATGCAGAGTTTGATTTAAAACATTCCCAGATAAAGGTCTTTAGCTTGCATTTACATGTCTGCTCAGCAGTCCCCTTTTACTTAACAGAGCTTAACACATATAAAATTGCAGCCTTTGTAAACAGCACTGAAAAGTTTTAAGACACTCATTTTCATCTTCTGTTTTTGAGAAAAGGGAATCAAATATTATAGTCACATAATGGCAATCTGCTGCCCAGGTTGGCAGCAGATTAATAATAAAACAGTAGCCCACCAAGCACAATTGTAATGCTAGCACCTGATCCGAGGCTTGATCATGGACAAATGATTCCATGGTATTGGCAATGTGATTTTCTGCATCAATTATGCATATTGCTAGAGTAGCCTCCGTCAGTAGCCTTCCCCAGCCATGAGGGAAAGGATTCACTGTTTGGTTGAAGCTATCTTCTACGTTGGATCACCCTTGCAAAGGCCCATCGAGACACAGCAGGACTAGAATCCTGCCAGATGAGATGCTCTCTCTGTCCATGACTGCAATTCTCCAAGAGTCTTCACTGCAGTGTAAAACTTTCCATCCCCATTCTGAAATTGAAGACTCTCTGCTCCACATTCTGTGCATCACAATTTGCAGAAAAGTAAGAGAAGGTGAATCGTCCAATTGGCACCTGCGTTTGGCTAATGTCTTTGGCTATTTGAATCAGAAAAACTGTACATTCCTGTTCCTTCAATGAAGGATCGCTTGTCCCATGAATGATCAAACCTAATGCTGTGCTATCTGCTTAAAAAGCAAGGGAGAGACAACTCCTGGGCTACAGATGCTTGTAATCACTCAAGCCTTCCACATTTCCTCTCCAACCTTTGATCAGAGCATTGTACTAACCTGTCCTTTTCAAATTCCTTTGCAATTTTTAAGGCAATGCCATCAAGGTGAACAGACTGCATGTTACAAATAACTGTGACGACCACACCATGGGGTGGGACCAGGCAGCTACTATTGGCAATCCCAGAGTTCAATTCTTCAGGAAGAATGAGTAGAACGCTACTTGCTCCTACTGCCCCGCCAGTGTGGAAGGTGTAGTGTTGCTGCTCTTTGCAGTGGCCACATTCCTGCTTCTTCTCTACAATGAACCAGGCCATTCCATAGGCATAATCTTGGGACTGTGGGACTGTGGTCCACATCATTGCTATCGTGTCAGGCTTGAGATAACCAGGAAGAAATCCAGCAGCCAGGTTTTTCACCTGCCCAAGCTGGTAACCGTAGAGCATGGCATTTCCAAATCTGAGAAGATCGCCCACAGTGGACACAAAGCCACCACCTGCCCACTTGTAAGAGTTATCCACGTAAGGGGCGTTGATGAGATGACCTTTTTTGTTGTGAATGTAATACCTGGAGTGAAACAAAGATGCTCGATAAATTCACAATATAAAGTACCTAAATAATCCATATATCTGCCAGGCTAAAGTAGCCTTCTGCCATTTTATTCTTTTTGAGGTGTAGAGATTGACATAAGGCCACTAGTGATCAAATAAATTATATTAAACAGAGAAGTGCTGCCCAGTTAATAAGCAGCATTCTAATGCTCTGGTCAATCTCTGCTAGGTAGAGAAAAGCCATCCTAACAGTGTAATCTTAAAAGACACCAGGTCCATAATAGGAGAGATCCCACCCCAAGGCTACCTTCATCAAAAGTAGAAAAAAGACCAAAAAACAAATAAACAAACTAACAACCCCAGGAAACAACATGCCAGTCAGAGGAATGCTGGAACATGAGCTCCATATCAGATGAGCTCCATCCTCCTGCAAAAAAGCAGGAAGGTAAGCCTCATTAATTAAACAGAGGACCAACGCCATGCAGATCTGGGATGAAAACCTCAGGATGAGAGAGAGTTTGGGTTTCAATGATCTATTGGGTTTCACTTTCCCTCTCTTGTTCTCTGCAGCTCTGAGAGAGTCTCTTTTCCCTGCAGTTGATTGGGGGAACAGACAAGAGAGCCACAAGAGGGCAGTGCTCTTTGGTGTTACGGGATTTCTTCCCTGAAACAGAATTATGACGACTGTGAGATTTATTTCCATTTATACCCATGGCCTGTTTGAGAATCTTTCCGAGGGACTCAGTTTAATTCCAAATCTCCAAATGTCTGACTTATGTGAATAGCTGTCCTTTCCAAACTACTAAATTCAACGTAGGAAACAAAAGAAAGCCTGAGCACAATCCCGTTCCTCTTTTTACACACATCAGTTCTTGCAATGGGCCACGCGGAACAAGGCTCACTATTCAGTTTAGAGAAGTGCGCAAAGACGGGAACACACGTGCCGATGTCCCTGCCTGACCATTTACCTTGCTCTGTTGTATATCAGAGGCTCATTCTCATCCAACCCCGTGGATCCCATACCCAAGTCACTAAATATTTTCAGCATGTAGTCCGTGAATTTCTGATTTGAAGCTCCCTCCACGACAGCGCTCAGGAGAGTAAACCCGTGGGTCGAATACAAAAACTGACTACCTTGAAGGAAATAAAAGAGAAGACGCCCCATTTCACACAAGAGTTTATGTTACGGAAGCTTAGTCAGGGTCTGTATACTAAGTTTGCTCAAGAAGGGATCTACCTGTTCAAAGAGAAAGCATATTTTTGTATACTTTGAAAAGTTTACAAGGTTAAATTTTGCAATAGTTAAAAGTATAGGGCTACTGTATTAAAAGTCAACATAAATAAGCTGCTTTCTCTGTCTTTCACATTTAATTTGCTACCTAAATTTCTACTATTTTTATTTGTAATTTAACTTCTTGTAAGAAAACAAGACACTATTCTTATATGGAGCCGCATCATAGTTTAGCTAGCTGAGCCCCGACTGGCTAGACAAATCCCACTAAGCAATGGTTTGCTTAAATATGGTTTACTAAATAACCATGCACCAAACAAACTACTCTGTGGCTTAGCACAAAGGGTGAATTGACTCCATTATCTACAGTCTGGATGGATGAAGATTAGCAACTCACCTGGTTTAAAGAATAAAGGATCATTTTGAAAGATATTCAGTGAGTCAATCACATGCTCAAATTTGTCCTTCAAATAATATTCTTCATGCTCAAACTCCCTTTTCTTCCTTCCACTTTTTGAATTTTTGCCTTCCTGTTCCGGCTTGCCTTTAATCAAGTCCCTCTTTTCAGTCTCTTTGTTTTCTTTCTCTTTTGCTGCAGAAGCTGCTGTTCTTGCGGCTTTTCTGTTGGCCTTTTCTTTTTCTTCTTTGACTTTAGAAATATCTTTCTCATAGTGGCGGATACCACTTAAATGTGACACAAGCAGCCTTGTGCTAATAGTGACCTAAATTTTTAAAAGACCCAAATTCATTTTGATTTCATCTATGCAAGTTATAATTAAATCATGTTAATGACATATTTCTGAAGTGTGGCAGAGGATATTTTTGGATGGTGATGCTGTAAACAACCAGCCTCATTTACCTTTTCACCTTCATATTCTTTTTCAGGAAATTCTGGAACATACTTCTGCACAGCAGCATCTAAATCCAGCTTCCCTTCTTCCCATAGCTTTGCAACAGCAACCATGGTCAGAGATTTGCTAATGCTGGCAATTCGTAGGACGGTCTCCGGACCGCAGAGGACACGGTTTTCCAAGTCAGCGTAACCTATACCTTTAAAGGAATTAGGAGTCTACTATTTAAAGGTGTCCTCTATGCATTGAAACAGCCCAAACCCCCAATGGTCTAAATATCAAAGGTTCTTTTTTCTCCATAAGATCAACAATAGTCATATCTTCTTGGCCTAATACAGTGATGGCGAACCTTTTAGAGACCGAGTGCCCAAACGGCAACCCAAAACCCACTTATGCATCGTCAGGTGCCGGGTGGGTGTGGCCCATTGGCGGGGTTTGGACAATTGGGTGGGTGTGGCCCATTGGGTGGGCATGGCTGCAGTGATAATGGACTAAAAAGTTCAATCAATCAATTCCAACTTTGCAAGATCTTTTTTTTCCTGCGAGAAGTTGAAATTGACTGATTGATCGAATCTTTTTTTTTTTTTGCACATGGTGGCAGAGGCCTAAAGCGAAAAGGTTTTATAAAACCCATCTGAAGGCCTAGGACTGGGGCGACGGCGCATGTGCCCACAGAGAGGGCTCTGAGTGCCGCCTCTGGCACCCGTGCCATAGGTTCGCCACCACTGTCCTAATATTTTGCACAAGTAGAACAGCTCTCTGATCCAGTGAAAATCAGCACTTTTAGATAATTAGCAAGAGAAAAGAAAGGCATCATATACAGTACTGTAAAGCAAGAACACATATGTCCCAGATATTTCTATTTGTTCAATGCGAACACACACAAAAACACCAATTAACTCTGGGTGTTGTTTGTGGGGGGGAAAAGAGACAAAAACAAAATCCAAGACAAATGAATTATCTCATCCTAGGTCACCTGTGGTACAAGTCAGACTTCCTCAAGCAAAGGTAAGGGATGCCAGCTGCCTGGCAAGCGGGAAGCAAGCATCGCAAAGCAGGAACGGCTTGACACCATCAGACTGGAATCTCCTGAGCAAGTCTTATTAAATCCACCAGGTTTGATTCTGATTAGATTAACAAATTCCTTCTCACAACAAATGCCTATAGGGCATCAAAATGCAGATCGTATTTGGATGTTTACGTTCTTGGTTTTCCTTTGGCTAAATTCAGCTCATAAATATTACACAAGGATGAACCATACGTAAGTTGAACAATTTTCAACACACTTCTTAATTGCACCATATGCAAAGAAAAATTAGAATTGGCATATAGAGAATAATTTAAATTTTGCTTTGAAAAAGCATTAATAGAAGAGGGTAGAGAGGCAGTTGAGTTCTGAAAACAAGACTGGAAGCTACAAAGCCAAACACCATCAGCTGGCCAAACGTTTTCTCATTATGCTGGGCAAGTATGGCTGGAAATGATACACTTATTATATTTCATTGTAAATATGACCTGTAAATAAAACACTTTTGTTCCAGCACCCGTTTCGTTTTAGAGTAGTTTAAGGGTGCCTGTGATGTTTACATTTTTTTAAAAAAAGTATTATTCTTAATTCCTCCCATTTAGTCCATGAGAACCGGGCCGGGCTGTGAAGTGAAGCCCCCCCCCCGACTCACCTTCCGCCCAGACCTCTCTCCCGTCCACGGACACGCCGACCACCACGCCGGGGGCCCCCACTTCGTCCTGGGGAACGAAAGGCTCACTCAGCCCGAGACGACCCTCCCACTTGCCCCCTCCAGCTTGTGTCTGACCCTCCCCCCATGGTGAGGCTTAGGATGGGGGCAGCTGAGGGGCATCTATGGGGGCGTCAGTCTTTTGGGTCTGGTCCAAGGAAACCCGGTCTGGCCTTCCCTGCCTCCTTTATCCCCAGAGCGCTCTGGCCATGCCCAGGAGGGACACTCGGCACGTGCTCAGAGGCCCCGCGCTTTGGACGGCGCCGAGCCCCGGGATCCGAAGCGACCCCCTCGAACAAGGCTTCGGGGTGAAAAAGCGGCGCCTGGGCAGCCGGACGCCCCACTGGGGGGGGAGTCGCCCGGCCACTCTGTACATGCTCAGGGTACACGCTCCCACCCGCCGACCTTTAGCCGCTGGAGGAGGTCTCTGCTCCGGGCGACGGCCCGCTGGAAGCCCGGTTCCCCGGGCGGCCGTTCCTCGCTGCCCCCGTCCGGCCCGGCTACGGCTACGGCGGTCGCCGCCAGCCCCAGCCCCAGCCCCAGCCGCCACAGGGGCCCCCGAGCGCTCCGGAAAACGCCTCCAAAGAGTCGCAGGGCAGCCCACCGCGCCGCCGCGCCCCGCAGGAGCAGCCGCATCGCGCTCACGCCAGGCTCAGGCTCCGCGCCCGGCTAGGCCCGCGTTGCTAGGAGGCGGGCCAGGCGCGAGCAGCCGCTGCCCGAGCGAAGCCGGCCGCCCATCTCCGGGGGGGGGGGGGGAGAAACGCGGCCGCGCGCCGAGCGTCTCGTTCAGGGCGGGGCCGGCGCGCCTCCATCCACGCGCCCGCCGGGCGGGGGAAGCAAGTCGGGGCAGGCCCAGCCGCTGTGGACTCCAGCTCCCAGAATCCCCCTCCGTGCAGGCTGGGGGATGCTGGGGCCCGGGGTCCGTGTCTGTAAGGCGGGAGAGCGTGGGGTTCGCCTGCCAGAGAGGAAGCGCGCTGAGCGTCGTTCCCGCGCGGGGAGGGCAGGGGCCGGAGCCGCCCCGCTTTGGACTCGGGGGTCCCCGGGAGGGCCGCTCGTGCCCCCCAGAACTGGGGCTGGGAGCCGCCGGGGCCGAGAGCTGCCTTCCCCAGCCGAGTCAAACGGCCGGAGCGGCTTCGCGGGCTCTGCCCAAGCCTCCCAGGCCGCTGACGCTATTTAGCCGCCGTTTGCAGTTACAAGGGTGAAGAAAAAGTCACTCTGCGACCACCCTCGCACTTACGACCTTGGCAGGTCAACGAATCGAAGGAAGGCTGAAATCGGAGCACAAGTCCGGTTGCCGTTTCATTTAGTGACCGCTTCATTTAACACCCAAGTAGCCAGTCCTAATTGTGGTTGCTTCAATACAGGATGGTCAGTATTACCTGAAGAGGAGCTGCATGTTAGCCCCTCCTCTGACGGAATTAAACGTGAGGGTCCCCCTTCCATGAAGTCCCTCTGCTTCACAAGCAAGGGGTCTTCTGCGTGTCTCCCACCCTTGGCCAGACCGTCCTCCGTGGTGCTCGTGGACAACAGAAAAGCGAGCAAAAGCGTTGGAGGCTTATTGTCTTCAGAGCCCTTTCTGGGCTGTGTTGAGGTCACTGAACAGTCGGTTAAAACGAAGGGGGATCGAAAATCCCAGGGATGAGCCTGCTGCCCTTTCAGCCCAAGAATCAACAACTGAAGGAGCAATGACCTGTTGGGGACGGGAGGAGGAAAACCCAAGAGGCTGGATATTTCAGCCATTCATAATCACTCCCGTGGACTAGTGCAGAATCCAGGAAATGAAGGGAAATGCAATTCCAATTAAATTGGATACCCATTGACTTGGGTATCAGGCCAGGCCAAATAATTTTTAAATATACCATAAAATGCAAACCAGATGAAACCCGTAGCAGCATTTGTTGTTTTAACTCTCATTCCTGCTTTCTCAGTAAAGCAGAATCATTTATCATTTGCCAAAATTATCTCCAGTTTAAAGTCTGGTTTCATTTAGCAAATTTTCAGTTTGTCCCATAGCTAAGGGCCTGGCTGTCATACCTCATTGCAGGGAGAAGTAAACCTAGAACAGAGTATTCAACCTTGGCAACTTTAAGATCTGTAGACTTCAACTCCCAGAATTCCCCAGCCAGCATGGCTGGCTGGGAAATTCTGGGAGTTGAAGTCCACAGGTCTTAAAAAGTTGCCAAGGTTGGGCATCCCTGCCCTAGAATTGTAGGGTTGAAGGGGATCATGTAAACCAGAGTTTCTCAACCTTGACAACTTTCAGATGGGTGGACTTCAACGCCCAAAATTCCCCAGCCAAGTCCACCCATCTGGATGTTGCCAAGGGTGAAAAACCCCATTCCTGACCAACTTGCCCTGCAGGAATTTTCAAACCATCCCACTTTGGCTTGGAAACCTCCAGTGATGGGAACCCTTTAGGAAGCAGAATAAAGACCACAAGGCTACAACCATTTTTTAAAAAAAAAAATGTTCCAGAGTGTGTGTTTTATTCCATTATCGTCAATTATACAATGTTTACATACAGAAATGATTCCCCAAGACTGCTCAAAACAACACAAGGGAAAGGTGTGTCGAACAAACAGGTGGCAGATACCAAAAAAGTATTTGATTCAGACAACACAAAAATTGCAGTAGGAAATATTCCGTGAAAGCTAAGGGTGACTCCCACGTGCAATAGATCTTTGAGGCCGCCACAGATCCTTTTGCAGACCAAAATGCCGTCGATGTTCAAAGTTTCTTTTCATGCTGAGCCTCAGGCCCCTCCAGGAAAAAAAGAGTTCCTGGCTGGGCGAAGTGCTGAGTTATCCAGAGAGGAGCTGGTGGACGGCGTGGCTCCCTTTTTTTTTCAAGACAAGCTGATCAAAATCCCCTCTCCCCTTCACCCTGCATCCCTGACAATTAAAACTGAAGGAGATCTACCTTGATAATCCTAACAAAAAAATATTCCCATTTTTCGAGCCTGCAGACAATTGGCATTAATCAACTCCATCCAAAGTGTAGGCAGCAGGAGTCCCAAGGAGGGCACCCCAAAGCTGGCAGATGCCCCCCATAACTCCTGTATCTTGTTCCCCTTCTTAATCTTTTCCCCGATTCCATGCCTGGATAGAGCGAACAGGCCTAGGACTGATTGCGGCAACATGGGGGAGGGGGGAATTATAAAATAGGGACACATCTCAAGGGGTTTCATGGCAAGCAGGTGTTTTTTAAAAAAAGAACTAGAAATGAAACTGATGTTGGCACGGTCCCAGCTAAGAGACTTATCACATGTTGTTTAACTCCAGTAGAGTTTGATCCAGCATCTGATGCATATTGAAGTTTTCTTCTTTTGCATTAGCCACTTTCTCTGTTTTGGGTAAAAAAAAAAATGAAAAGGAGTCATTTGGTGGCAACCTTTAATGGCGGGAAGGCAAACATCGCGGTGAAACACCTATGCATAGTGTCACTATGGCAGTCAAAGTATTTGAATCAAAAAAGGGATACAGCACCTTTTAAGCAGGCCACCGTCCCAAACTGGTCTGGCCAAGTCAAGGGACAAACTTTTATTGGCATATTATAAGACAGCACCAGTGCCCCTTCGACCTAAGGGAGTTGGTGATTGGTCAGTTATTGCTGTGGCAATTGGCTGACTCAACCCGTCTGCTAAGAAAATCTGTCCTTCTTTTCTATTACAAATGAAAAAAGGTGCATGAGAGATTTAAGTTCCAGCAGAAAGAAAAGAAAAATCCATATACTAAAAATGCTGACAAAAGTATTTTGCAAATTTATTCCACCAGGACTGAAGAATTGGTAGAACACGACAACATGGAGGGTGAAGGAAAGCAGCAGCTATTTGTCTGCTAGGGAAATTTCAGATATTTTTCTGCTGCGAGGGAAAAGTAAAGCAGCTTTTACAATAGTTGTTAGTGTAAAGTCACATGCGCATTGTGTAGGAAAGGCATTAAATACACTTCTGTGATGGGAGACAAAAGCACAAAAGCTTGAGATCCACATACAATCAACACAGCAACAGCAGCTTCACAACGATGCAAACGTACCACAAAACTAGCAGAGGTTATCAACAAAAGGCCCCTTCTGCTGCCTGTGCGCAAAATTGTTTTGATGGGCTAGGAAAGTGGAGCTTCAGATCTCATTCCTGAGCCCAACGGGAAGCAAACTTCACCTAGATTCCAATTTCAACATTTCCCCCCAAGACCAGAATGCTAGTAAAACCACCCCTTCCAAGGAGGCTCCTTGGTCTCATTTTATCAAAATATGATCAAGAGTGTAGCCCATGTCAAAGTTGGAAAGGAAATGCCTAAAACCTCTTAGGTCCACCCAGCTTCAGCCCCAACTGGCAGCAGACACAGGTCTCGCATCGTTCAACGGCAGGCGAGTCAAGACACACGGGTTAGCAAGAAGGGTTCGTACGAAAGCTTAATCCTCATTCAGGGCCAACTTGAGCTCATTAGTGAGACGCCGGTTTTGCTCAAGCTGCTGGTAGAGCTGGTCTGTGCAAGTCGGCAAGCAGACAGAAGAGAAGAAGAAGAAAGAAAAAAGAAAAAGGCAGAGAGAAGAAAAACAGTTAGAGAGAAAGTGTTAGCTCCAAAATGTCACTCTGTAGAGAGTCAGTTTAGTAGGACAGCTCAGAAACGGATCAGGCACAGGAAGACAGGAGCTCTGTACCTCCTTCAGTGTAGCGTCTCAGGAAGGAAGTTCCACCCTCTGTGGTGGGCCTTGTGTGGCTCAGCCCAGTGAGGAACCCATCTCTCCTAGCCAGAAGAGGTCCACCCATTTCTACTAGGGAGAGGGCTGGGCAGGTGCTGGTGGTGACAGGACTGCTCAGTTCCAGCAAGGGAGACAGCCAGGTCCTGGTCCAAGCTCTGCTCCGGCCACCCAGAGTCTTCTACTCCAAACTATCTCTGCCTCCCCATCCCTGCTAGCAATTCTCACATGTGACACTTCCAAACCTGGGTTCCATGCAGGTGACTCTGGCTAGTCCCGAGTCCTGAGTCTCCAAGCCAAGTTCTTCTGGATTCTTTAGGTGATGTGACAAGCACTATCTCTAGAACTTCATGGTAGGCTTGATAAGGCCAAAGCCTCAATTTGCAGCAGACTGACTTAGGAAGACCAAAAGAAGGTTGAGGCACCCCCCTCTTTTGTGCAGAGGACAAGTAGCCTGTGTGGCAGCAGGTGCAATGAGCAGGCCTGCTGCTGGGGGTGAGCTGTCTAAGGCTCCCTCTCTGGACAGACTCAGCTGTTGAAACTGTGCCAGACAGGGCTACTGAAGGAGGGTGGGCTTCAAGACCCAAGGGGATTCCCACCAGCCGGATGGGGAAGGAAGGCAGGACTGATGACCCATGCCTTGCAAACATCTTTGGGGCAGTGACTGGCTAGCTTTTAACTAGGTCCCAACCATCTCTGGATCAAACAGATTTTGGGTCCAATGAACTGTGGCTTACTGATGGAGCCAGAACTGCCTGGGCTGACACAAGCCAGAAGGCTGAGCCCCATCCCAGCCCACCTCAGCGCAGCAGGGATCTCAGTGGCCTTCCATCTTCCCCAGCCTAACCCCCCCCAGATGTGCAGGGGGCCTCCAGGTGTGCATTCCCCATTGCAGCCATTTCTCCTCAGCCCAAGCCATCTACCCCCGCCTCCGCTCTTGCCCTGGCTACCCCCTCCATGCCACAATGGTCCCCCAACAATCCCTTCACTTGAGAGTGAAGACCAGGGTGCTTATCCAGCAAGTGAGTGAAGCAAAGCCCCCTCCCCCCGGAGACCCCCTCGAGGCTGCTAAACCCCCTCCCTGCATGGGGGTTTCGCAGAAGGGCTGGAAAAGGGACAGGGGAAAAAAAAGAGTAAAAAAAGAAACAGGCGGGTGAAAAAAGAAAATAAAAGAATGAATCCCTAACAGAAGAAAGCATTTTTTTAAAGTTTATTCATACTTGAAATGGAGGACATAAATAAAAGGCAAAAGGAACAGCAAAACAGATACAATGTCGGGATCTTTTGTTTATTTTACAGTGAAAGTTGTAGAGTTCCTGTACAGTTGAAAGGCCCAAAGTGGGGAATGGGGAGAGGGGAGGGCAGGGGAGGGGTGGGGGGAGGAGCCCCCTCCCCATCCTGTGGGCGAGCCCCAGGAGGAAAGGGAGGAGGGGGAGGAGGAGGGGAGGGCAAGGAACTGGACAGCAGGTACCAGCTTGGAAAAGATGGTTCACCCAGGCTGACGAAAGAGAGGTCTTGGGAGGAGTGAAACAAAGACAGTTATCTGTGTGAAGATAAAAGAGACAGAAATAAAAATGGCAGAGCAGATGGAGAAGGGAGGGAGGAAGGGATAGAGGGAGAAAATAAGGAAGGAAGGAAGGAAGGAAGGAAGGAAGGAAGGAAGGAAGGAAGGAAGGAAGGAAGGAAGGAAGGAAGGAGAGGGGAGGGAGAGCAGAAGAGAAAAAAATGCATCAGGATAAAGAAAACAGCATCTGCCCTACAGCAACCCCCTTGGCTCCCATCTTTAAGTCAGCATCCAGGGCCAGGCCATGGGACCCCCAGGAGAGACAACCAAGCCCTCCGAGGAGAGCCTTGCCAGCCAGGAGGCAGCCCTCTCTAGGGGCATCCAATGGCTCTTTTGCTCTTTTAACCTCACCTCCAGGATCCGACCTTGCAGAGCTTCTGGAAATTGAACCCAGTGAATTGGGGTGTTTTCCCCTCTCCTCTGCTTAGTAGTCAAATTCGAGCTTTGTTTTGAAAAGCCCCCTCCCCCGCCCCTCCTTTGGAAACAGGTCACGTCTTGGGGGTCTTTGGCGTCCGAGCTGGGCATTGGCCCTCTGGCCCTTGCAAGCTCCGCAAACTGACCGTCTTCCTGCCTGGGCTGCCCCCCTCCCTTCGCCAATCCCGTTTTCCGCAGGGGGAGGTCAGTCTCTCTTTCAGGGTCCTCCTGCACCTTCCATTTGACTTAAAAATGTTCCACTTTTCTTAACAGCCTTTTAATGATGCCACATCCCGCCCTGTGAACTGTGCGCTGCCCAGTAATTTGTAAAATAAAACAACCAGCAGAGAACGTCAAACACGCATGTGCAACATTTCCCAAATATGCAGGGAACACAGACTGGCAAAAAGATAATTATTCAGACTGTAACTTTGGGAATCCAAGGGCAGAACGAAAGCATCCCGCTAAACGCTAAACGGCAAACTCAGGGCTCACTTTGCGGCTCAATTAAGCCAGGAGAAGGCAAATCACTCCAGGGTGAGTCAGCCCTGAGATCTCAGCCAAAGCACCATGCTCTGAAACAAGCTAGAGCTTCTACACAGCCGTAAGTGAGCCTCATGCAGCCAGGCACTCGTGGGTTTAGTTTTAGGGATTTTTTTTTCTTTTTAATAAGTTAGTACAGTCCGTCTTTCATAAGAGTTAGTAGGAAGGTTATTAGTAAGGTACAACTGACTTCCGTTCAATATTTCTTACACAGTATAAACTTGGTCCGGCTCACAGATTTAAAATAGCCTTATAAAAACAATTTTTAACCTGAGAACTTTGGGTTGTGTTGGACTACACAAACTAAAACTTTTGAGCTGGACTGAAATGGCCACAGGGAGTTGTACCCCACTATATCTGGCTCCTAATGATGAGATCTTGGTGAACCTTTCCTTAAAAATACATTTTAAATAGTTTCTGGATAATGATAATGATTTCTCAGTAAATATGGGAAGGTAAACACATATTAATAAAAAGTGGGATACTAGTTGAATCAATACTATTTTTTTCAAAAGACAATCCCTTGCCAATTAGTCTTGATGATATTCTGTCAAAAATGTGCTCGTTCAGCCTTGGCTACTGTCTAATTAAAATCCAAAGTAAAGGGATTTTTCAGGTTAATTGTGCTTCCAGGGGGCTCCCTTGCTGCAAATTTGTGTGGGTCCACAGAGGCGAGAGATGCCTACTGGCTGCCAATTGCAAAGACGGCTGCAGATGCCACTCCAGGGAAATGCTCCATGTCTTTCTGCTGAAGAATTTGCTCTTCTACAGCAGGGACACAGGAGAAACAGGGCCTATTTTCCACAAAAAAGCTTGCACAGGCACTGTGGACCTCATTGGATCTGATGCTAAAACTACCCTGTATTTAGGGGGAGTTTCTTAGTAAAAAAGGCTTGGCTTGCCAACCGGAAGAGCAGATGGGCTTTGGTGCAGAAGCAGAGAAATGCTGGAACAGAGGAGAACTGAAAGGAGGAACTAAAGACGAAGAAAATGGTGTGGAATCCAGTGGAGGAAATCAGGAGAAAGGAAGGGACACTCATTCAAGTGAGCCTTGCCCTGAATTGTCAATCCAGGCAAAACGCTTGCTCCCTCACTCTTGATTAAGAATAATCTCAGAGTATTAATGGCTCTTGCTGTCTTGCTCCATCAAAAGTGACACCAGAAAGCTGCTGAAACCCAGGGCTAGCTCAACAGTATTTACACGAATAAGGAGCAATACCACCCACTGCCCACCAATTGCAATGTGTGCCAGTCCTTCAAAGGACTAGAAACTTATAACAACAGAAGGTGCATAGAGCACGTGTACAACGTACAGTACAGAAGGAGCAAGGGTCGTCTGACTTGCAAGGCTGACTTGACCATGCAGAGGGTGCGGAAAACCAGGCAGAGGCAGAAAAGAGGGAGCCATTTACATGGAGGTCATGTCGTTGAGGGCGTGATCCAGCTCCTCGCTGATGGCTTTGTACTTGAGTTTCTGGGAATACAACTCGTCTAAGAGTTGCCAAGGAAAAGATGGAAGGAGTGCAAAGAGGAGGCAGTGACGAAAGGAAGCACCATCCAGAAATCCGGTCGGGAGCAGGGAGGATGGGTGTGCAGGCGTCGGCAGGAGGGAGAGTGTGGAATAAAATACAGAGAGGTCAGGAGAAGGATTTGAAAAGGGTTTTCACAAAAGAAGGGTGAGAACAGCCAAGCTGGCAGATGGGAAAGCAAGGATTCTGGGGACATAGCTGGAAATGCGCTTCCTGGTAGATCTTGGAGGACCCCAGACCAGAGAGAGCCTGGAGGCTCTTCTCCACCAAACACCAAAAACCAACTTCCTCCTTAAAAGCTCCAATGCTGAACCACTTTTTAAAGAGACTCTTCTTCAAGAGAGCTTCATCAACTAATGGGAAGCTGAACTCCTGAGAGGTCCTCCAGGTAGGGCGCCTGTGGTGCCCCAAATGTTGTCCCCTCCCACTGCCAGTCACCTCAAAGCTGAGATCACAGTTGACACCCCCAGCTCCTGGGCTTCTTACAGGTCTCAACTTGATATCTGCCCAATTGCTCCTTTCATCTCTCTCTATGTGTCCAAATATTTGGCAGGAGAGATCCAGGTGGCAACGTAACCACAACCCAACAATAATCCTGGTTTTCTCAAGCAGAGTTTGTAAGTCTAGCATTAATGAAATTCTTCCATGGAAAAAAACAATCCCGACAGTGGGCAAAGGGAACCCATCCACGTGTGCAAAGCTACACAGACACTGTTCCCTGCCGAAAGCGCAAACAAATCAGAGGTGGCCACCAAAAACCCATTGTGACCATCACTAATTTGCATCTGGAAATTAAGCTCATTGTTGACATTCCTACTTGAGAGGGAAGAAACCCAGACCAGGACAAAACATTCCAGTCAATGAACTGAAGACGTTTGGACGACAAAATATTCACCACAAATTTTACGCTCACAAGATGTTCAAACCTCCCACCCTTTGTTTCCATTAAACAACATTTCTTTCTTCTCTCCTCACCCAATGAACATCCAATGGGGGATCGGGACCTGAAGGCCGGCTCCCCCCGGATGCGCGGTTCTAAAAGACCCCGCCAAAGGACGGCCCCCGAGTACCTGAAGCCCCCCTCAAGCTCTGGGGCTCCTTCGCAAGTTCATCTCTTGCTTAAGGGAGAAATGTCCCATGGGAGAAGCGGTCAGCACCCGGTCCAGGGAGGCCAGGGAGGCCGACCAGAATCAGCCACAGGTCAAGCAGGGCTTAGGGCAGCCCCCAAGGCAGGAAGGAGGAGGAGAAGGAAGGAAGGCCGGGCCAAGAAACATACCTTCTAAGTCATCAATGCTCTTCTCTAGCTTGGTTACCGACCTCTCTGCAAACTCGGCTCGGGTCTCAGCCTGCGGTCGAAGCACAGATGGGCGGGTCAGGAAAAGGCTTGGGCCCCCCAGGGCGTTTCCCCCAGGAAAAGCCAACTGGATACAGAGCATTACAAAGAGCTGCCCCCAAGGCCAAATCTGGAGGTGAAGCAGCCCAAGCTGTGTCCAGCTGTTCCCAGCCCCAAAAGGCAGCCCGGACGTTGGTCAGAAAAGGCCTGGACTGGAAACGGGGAGGAAGAAGGATCCAGGCCCTCAGGATACGACCAGAGTTGGGATCCTCATCCCCAGCTTGTGCCACATTCCCAACGCAAGAGTTCTGCAACTCTGATTCAAACACAATATGGCCGCACAACAGTTTTATTACGCTCAACCCTCCACAGGTTTTTCTCCTTTGATTGCAGGGGAGCTGATTAAGAGTGCGGCTTTGGGGCAAAGTGCAACACATTTCTGCACACTCTGGACGGCTGACACTCCCCTGGGCTACCTCAGCATTCCAGGAAGCAAAAAAAATCCCAGCAAAGTTGACCCTCCTCCAGAAAGCCAGCTTGTTTGTTTTGGGGAGGTTTACCTCTTTCAGTTTGTCAGTAAGAACCTTGATTTCCTCTTCATATTTGTCTTCCTTCTGGGAGTACTGCAAGAGGAGAGAAAAAAAGGCGTGAGAAACCACTCTGGGCCACCCTATGAATTGCCCTCTCCAAACCGGTGGCACAACCGGGGCCCAGTGAGACGGCCAGCTCAGAACCAAGCAGGAGGTTTGACCCGACAGGGCTGAGCGAGGAGCCGTAGCCCAAGGAAAACAGGCCCTGTCCACGGATGTTGGACTACAACTCCCATCTGCTGGAGGGCAGATGGAAGTCACAGTCTAAGACCAGGGGAGGAGGCCTTCGGAGAGGGCAATATTGTTCACACTACTACAGCAGTCTAAAGAATGCCGGCCCACCACCGCTTGCAAAAGTCCAGCTTTCCAACTCAAAGAGTCTCCTGAGCCACCCCAAGATGGATGGTCTCCGCTCCTCCAGGAGAAGCCGGTCCTGCCCGTCTTATCCTCCAGGCTGCACAACTGTCCAGCGCTTAAAGCAGTGGTTCTCAACCTTTTTAATACCGCGACCCCAACCGGTCGTAAGTCGCGGACTAAACCGGTCGTAAGTCGAGGACTAAACCGGTCATAAGTCGAGGACTACCCAACCGGTCGTAAGTCGAGGACTTTCCCTGCCTGGGAGCGCCGCGCATGCGTGGTTCCGCCCCCTGCGCCGGCCGAGGCGTAGCTGGCAAGCGGCAGAGACGGAGCAGGCCGACCACCAGCTGGCCCAGCCCAAGGGAGGTAAGGCACCCGCCAGAAAAGGGGGAAAAAATGGCGGACAAAAAAAATGGCGGACAAAAAAAATGGCGGACAGCCTTGCTTGGCGACCCCCATGAAATGGTCGATCGACCCCAAATGGGGTCCCGACCCACAGGTTGAGAACCACTGGCTTAAAGCAACAGCTGGAGGCTTACAAGGGCCCTCCTCCCTCGCTCAGCCAAGGACAATGTCAGCATGAAGCTGAGCTGCCCCTTTTGCACTTCCCCTTTTGCAGGCTGACTGAAAGAAAGAAAAGCAGGAGAAGGAAGGGGGGGGGTCCTCTGAGACCCAAAAAGGAACACAAATGGGCATCTGAGGGGGTTCCTGGACCGCAAGAGCCAGGAAGAGCTCCTGGGGAATCAGGAGCGCTCCTGCAGTGACCCCCCTCCCCTCCACAAGGCGGAAAGCTCCCCTTTATTTACGATTTTGCTGCTTAGGATGACCACACTTAGGGGCTTTGCTGCCAAGTACGGTTGTGCCCCTGTTTGATACATAAAAGCTGCCCTCCTGGGCTTCTTCTAATCCCACAGTGGACAAGCACTTCCTCTCCTGAAGCCAGACCCTCCTCCGAGAGAGCAGGGCAGGGCAAGCAGATCCAACAGAAGGGAGTAAACGGAGCCTGGGTTGAACTGGGGAGTCCTTGGCACTCTCTGAGCTGGGCGGCAAAGAAGAACCACCGATACAAACCTGGCTTTGCGACAAAGCCTGAGCAGCTTTTTAAAAAAAATCACCCTGAAGCAAGATAGGAGTCCCCGAAGTTCGGCTTGGTGTACAGATTCATGAAATAATGTCATTCCTTTCCTTCGGCTGCCAGATCAGACACCCAAGTGCTCAAATCCGAGCCCACCTCAAAAGGTCTCCCTTTACTCCTTGCCACTTTGGGTTGTTTCAGGCCGCCCGGCTGGGACAATCTGAGACTGAATCCACAGCAGTTTCTCAGCTTGGCTACTTTAAGGCCCGTGGACTTCAACTCACAGAATTCCCCAGTCAGCATAGGGAATTCTGGGACTTTAAGCCCACCCATCTGCCAGTTGCCGAAATGAGAACCGGAGCTGAACAGGCTGGCCAGAAGCGCCAACTGCCACATCCAGTCAGGGACTATTATGGGAACTCGTAGGCAGAAAAGCGAAGTGGACAATGCCCGAAAGTTGCGGGACCCAGAAGGCGAGTCCCGTGTTGGTGGTGGCCGGCTTCTTCCCCGCCTTTCCTTGCTCCTCCCTGCTCGTCCTACCTTCTCCGCCTGAGCTTCCAGCGACCTCAGGTTGTTGGTCACAGTTTTCAATTCCTCTTCAAGTTCAGCACATTTGCTATTATTTGGGAACGCAGGCAGGAAAGGGGGCGGGAGGAAGACCAGTCAAGCCCAAGAAGAGAGGGGAGAAAAGATAGAGAAAAAATGAACACAGAATCTCAGAGCTCAAGAAAGGGCCTCGAAAGCAGCCGGACCTCTGGGACCACCGAATCCAGAGCACCACCATGCCCAAGTGGCACAGAGAGGAAATCCCCTCCGCGCCCTCGACGGCAGCTGAGCGAATGCAGGGAAGGGCCGGTTCTCCCAATGAAGAGCCCCTCTCCTCTCATAAAAGGCAGCCAAGACAGCAGCCATTGGCATTTTGGGCATTTTGCGATCCTGCAGCCTTCAGAAGCCCCCTCTGACGGAGGCCTCCTTCATACCAAAGCCCTTCGGGGTCCCAGAGAGGCCAGCTTCTTTCCTAGGGCTCAGTCACGGCCACAAGGCTTCCACGAACACACGCATCCGATCGGTGCTTTTGGAGACAAAGGACAGCCACTCAAGCCGAGGCAGAAGGATGCAAGGAAAAGAGGGAGGCAGGCAAAAGGGTGAAAGCACCGCGGCTAGAGGCCCCTCAGCCGAAAGGTTTGGGCTGCGGCTGAGCCCGGTCTTCGCGTTCACCGACAGACGTTGAGGCGCGCCAGTACCTTTTCCTCGGCTGCCATTAGCGCTTTCAAGGTTTGATCCATTATTCTTAGCTGTTCTTCCAGCTGCCGGACTTGGCTGTTAGTGAACACAGGAAACGCACAAGAGCCATTCACAAAAATCGGTGAGCCAGTAACAACAATAGCATGCAGTGACCCAAACCACACCAGAGCTCCCCGTAACTTAAGCACAGAGAGGCAAACACAGGCACGCGGACACACACAACCCCTTCCACTGGGGCACACAGCCGAGCACGGTGGCCGCAGGACACCAGAACAGCCGCCACATCCACGGGCAGCGCAAGGCCAGCAGCAGCAGCAGCCACGGGAGGGAGACCCACCTTTCGGAGAGCTCGGCTCGTTCTTCTGCACGCTCCAGGTCGCTCTCGATGATCACCAGCTTCCGGGCCACCTAGAGCCGCCATGGGAACAGAAGGGGGGAGGCGGTGAAGCCAGGAGTGGGGGGCCTTCTGTGTGCTGAATCCCCAGTCAGAGTCCCTGGCAGAATGGGTTCGCTTCTTTCTAAAATGCATTGAGCCCCTGAAACTAGCCAGACTCTGGGCAGCTTACGGAGATTAGGGGTTAGAAAGAAGATGCAAGTGAAATGTTAAGATTAAGTTAAAAGTTGTACAATTAAGAGGTGGCACCACAGGCATCGTTCCACCAAAGCGCTCCAGAAGAGCCATGTTTTCACTGGCTTTTGGGAGGCCACAAAGGTGGGGTTTATGTGGACTTTGGGGTCAAGCAGTTTCCAAGGAGGGGCCACTCCACTATCAGCCCCCCCCGGCAGGTGAGGGCCTTTAGCGGACTGTCCCCGATTGCTCAGACATGGTGGGCAGAAGCTCTGGGCGAAGGTGGTCCTGCAACTGGCACAGCAGCTGAAGCTGCTGCCCTCCAGAAGACGGAAAAGGCCTCTTGGCCAGCTCTCCATCTCCTCCTCAACCGGGAGCTTAAATCCAGGAGCCCCCCCCCCCCAATTGCAAATCTGTTTTTTGGGGGGGGAAGATGATGCACTCTTGAGGTCAGGTGACCCTGCCTGAATCAACAGCCCTGCCATCTTGCCTGGGGCCCCCTCAAGAGTCTGATCTTGTGTGCGGAATGGGCTCAGAGGAGCAGGCAGGCAGGAGCTGAAAAATGGCTCCCACCCCCTCCTCCGTCCATTCCTGGTGGGACCCCTCCCTCCCTGGAGCTCAGCTGCTGAAGGTCCACCCTTCCCTTCCCAAAGTCTCCAGGGAGACCCCTGGAGCTTGCAGAGACCCCCATCGCACCACAATGGGATGCCAGGCGGGATGCCAGGCGGGATCAGCCGAGGCTCACCTCCTCATACTTGCGGTCAGCGTCCTCTGCAATGTGCTTGGCTTCTTTCAGCTGGATCTCCTGGATCTCCATCTTCTCCTCATCCTTCAGGGCTCTGCTCTCAATGACCTTCATGCCCCTGGGAGAGAAGGCACCATCACGGGCACAGCCAGCAAGCCCGGCCTTCCCAGTGCCACCCTGATGCCCCCGATCTCCATCCCAAATACTGCAAATGCCATCTTCCTGAACCGCCCCCCCCATTCCTAGCTCAACCCAAGTGGCTGCCTCAGGAAGAGAGGAGGGCACCAGGAAGCATGCCCATCCTGCCAGGTATCTGCACCCAAACCCTCCTCTCCACGCTCACCATCCCACCACAACTATTCAGATGGCTCTGTGTGTGTGTGTGTGTGTGTGTGTGTGTGTAAGAGAGGGGGGGAACACAATCTCCCTTTAATCAACATTTATCTAAGCCAGTGTTTCTCAACCTTGTGAACTTTAAGACTTGTGAACTTCAACTTGCAGAATGTCATGCTGGCTGGGGAATTCTGGGTGTTGAAGTCCACACGTTTTAAAGTTGATAAGATTAAGAAACACAGATCTGGAGGGAAGCCAAAGTCCCTGGCACAGTCCAATTATGCGGTTTCTTCTGCTTCATTGCCTGTTTTGAAACACAGGCTGGATTACTCATCTATTGGGAATGACATAGTGACTCCTGCAGTGTGCAGGGGTTGGACATGATGACCTCTGAGGTCCCTTCCCATTCTACATCTCTATGTTTCACCTAACTCCCCTTAAAGCAACAGGCCAGACCCCTCAGAACCCAATGGACACCAGGACTCATATTATCCTCAAGGACGTAACTTTCCACCAACCAACCACCCTCCACATGGAGGGGCTCAGCCTCACCTCTCACTCTCGTCTGCCGCCTTCTCGGCCTCCTCCAGCTTCTGCAGGGCTGTCGCCAAACGCTCCTGGGCCCGGTCCAGCTCCTCCTCTACCAGCTGGATGCGCCTGTTCAGAGAAGCCACATCGCTCTCGGCCTGGGAGCAGGAAGGAAGGAAGGAAGGAAGGAAAGACGCTCTTTTTTTGCAAAATGGGCAGGAGAGTGGCATTAAATCACAAAGAGGGATGTGCAGAGAGAATCACACACACACACACAACCAGGGTCTGACATCCTTGGTTTTGTCACAGCCTGGCCATTCTCTCCATTTCACAGCCAAGAAAAAAAGACATTCTGTCAGATAAGAAAAAGGACTTTTTTCTAGCCTAAGCAATAAGCACAATTTAACTTAAAATTGGACAGTTTGCTACGCACCATATTCCTACAGAGAGAACGACACTAATGAATTAAAGCAGATCACAGCAATTGTAATTTGTACCAAACCAACTGGACCGGCACCCATCCTCTTCTCTGCTTCCTGTTAACTCCCAAACAGCCCTGCTCTCTTGGCCACACTGAATACGTCTGTAGCTTTTGGCAGAGGCCACGCAGGAAGGAAACCACAAGAAAAGCATCCAGGCCGGTCCACAAGCGAACATGCGGCTGCAAAGGCTCTTCTCTTACAGTAGGGGTCCCCAAACTTGGCAACTTTAAGACTTGTGGACTTCAACTCCCAGAATTCCCCAACCAGCAACGCAACTCCACAAGTCTTAAAGCTGCCAAGTCTGAAGATCCCTTCCTTATGGAAATGCTCCTCTTCAACGTTCCCTTGCTAATCCAGATCAACTACCGGAGAAGTTTATCCCGTGGCTACTTCAGCCACTTTTAATTCAAGCAAAGCAAATCACATCTGGGGGGGGGGGAACCAAACCAAATCACAACAGCGTTCGCATTGCATACTTTTTCCCTCCAGGGAAAGAGAAATGATGGCCCTCATGTTAATCATTACACAGAAAGGGATCTGGCTGAGTCCCAGGCTCCCTTGGAGGCCGAAAGGTCACTTTCCTACTTCCTGTTCCCAAAGATATACCAGCACAGCGACCCTGGCAGGGCCAATCCCTGTATTATCCCTTTCTATTTTCCACAAAGCAAAGCCTTTCCTTATATGGTCACAAAAATGCCATTATTCCAAAGGACACGTCCAAGGCTAGCAGCTAAATACAAACTCCACTCCAGGTGGCTGATTCCGGCACAGTTTGGCCAAAAGAGAGATTAAGATCTTCAGCTCCCCTTTGGAAAGCAACCATTTCCCTTTTTCAATCCAGCCCCCATCAACAGATGCCCCCCCCCCAATCCCCATGAGCCACTGTCTTTGGAAAGAATATCCAAATTCCGTCTAGGCCCCTGGCTGGCCAAGGGGGCAGGTGGGAGAGAGGTCTGCTCAGGTCAGCCTCTAAACCCCAAGGCTACCTGGCTAAAAAGGTAGAGGTGCCATTCAGATGGCTTCAGCAGAAAAGGCCCTGCTGCTCTTAATTGCAGCCCCAGAAAGTGAGGGAGCCCCATATATTAGCCCCCTTACACCCCCTCCTGCAGGCTTAGCTGCTGATTCCAACTGATTTCAGTCCCGGGGGGGGGGGGGAAGCAGCCCCAAGAAAAACAGCGTCCCTTACAACTCAGCCAGCAGCCTTTCCTTGGACTCCAAGGGAGCCTTTTAGCTTTATGGCCAGAAATGCAGAATTGGGCTCCCAGTTAAAGGCTCCTGCTGGTCCCAGTGACTTGCCACTGTGGGATTCCAGGAAATCAGTCAAGGTCTGAAATGCAGAATATTAAGCAGAAAAGCTCAGGGCAGTTTTGCACCCTGGACCATTCCCCTTGGAGGAGCCCAGCAGGTGCCAGGAAAGGACCCCGCTCACCAGGCGCTCCTTCCGGGGTCAGGGCCCTGGTGCGCACAGCATCAGAAAAGGGGGGCTCTCAGGCAGGGCCCTGGGGACCCTGGAGTGGGAGCTCCCCCCGAGAGGCAGCTGTTGGGCGCCGAAGGGGAGGAAGGGCTGAGCTTGTCCCGGCTGGGAGCGCCCAGAAAAGCTGGAAGGGGGAGCCGGCAGCCCCTGCAGACGCGGAAGGATTCTCCTCCGCTTCCGGACGCACTTGGCGGGGCTCGGGCGCTGCCCGCGGGGCCCGTCCGGGGCTGCGGCTCGGTCTGCCAGGCGCGCCTGGGGGGAGCCGGCTGGGGGGCCAACCCCCCTCCCCCGAGAGCATCCCCGGAGCGCCCGTCCAGTGCGGAGGGAGGGCGGGCGGGGCCGAGGCGAATCGCTGCGCCCCTCTGGCCACGCGGCTCCCCGGGCAGCTTCGGTCCCGCCCGGGCGACTCACCTGCTCGCGCAGCGCCCGCTCCTCGTCCAGCTCGCGCTGCAGCCGCCCCGCCTGCTCCTCGGCGCGGTCCGCCTGTTCCTGCAGGCTGCGGATCTTCCGGCGCACCGCCTCGAGCGAGCTCAGCCCCGCCGCCATCGGGCCCGCAACGCAGGAGGAGGAGGAGGCGAAGGAAGGGCGGCAGGAGGAAGAGGAAGGCGGGCAGGCAGGGCCGGGAAGGAAGGAAGGAAGGGAAGGAGGGAGGGAGGGAGGGAGGGAGGAGGAGCAGCCGGGCAGTCCGGCCTCCGCGCGCCGCAACGCCCGCCCCGGCTCAGCCCCGCCTGGGCGCCCCCGGCGGCATCCGCAGAGCCAAGCCGCTCAGGCGGCGGCGCCCGCGGGCCCCGATCCGAGAGAAGGCAAACCGGCCCAAAGGACAAACGCGTCTCGCCCCCCCCCATCTGCCAGTCCCAGCAAGCGGCTGGGCAACAGCTGGAGGGCGCCCTGCCGACTGGGGCAAAGGGACGGGGAGCCAGGCGCCCACCTTTTGCACGGACTCTGCCAACACAAGCCCCCCCCCCATAGAAAGAGGGCAGAAAAAGATCTGCCCCGGAGGAGGGAAGGGGCAGACTCCCACTCAGAGTGACCCAACTATTGGCATCACATTTGCTGCCAACAAAGATGAAGCCATTAATTGGGTCACTCTGAGTGGGGTCTCTGCCCCTTCCCTCCTCCAGGCATAAAGCTGGGGGGGGGGGCTGCTGCATCCCATTAGACTGAACCCGTCTTGGGGAGGGGAGGATCCTGAATCCTGGAAAACTGGCTAGTCTGAGAAGTTGGTTGGTGGCCCCAGACAGGCATGTTGAGCAGTTCCTGTGCTGGAGAAAGGCCACCCCCTTCCCACGCCTGGCAACCCCCCCCCCCATTTCCTCCCAATATCTCAGAGCTGTCTTGCAACAACCAAATGAAAAAACTGCTGTGGAAAAATCAGTTGACTCCCAGGAGACTCGCAGAGCTCGTAGGAGCAGGCTGGGAAGAAATGTGGGGACTTTCCCGGGACATTGTTCCCAAGAAACCAAGGAGGGCGCAAAGGGCATTTTTGGGCCAGCCAGCGCAACTCCCGAGGAAATCCCCAAGACGAGCGTGATGGCAGCAGCGCATGTGAAAACAGAGAAGTGGAAAGAAGGCGGCTTACAACCTCTGGGGGAGGACACAGCTGGCCGGAAACCTCCCTCCGCAACCATCTTCAAGGACAAGGACTCCTTCAAGTGGGCAAAGCAATGCTGCCATTAAATGGCCTCAGGGCTTTCCCTGCATGGATTTGCCTCTTCCGGGACTATTTTCTTGGCCTGCTTTGTCTCTCAGTCAGCTGTCACTCCAAAGTGGGTTTCCTTCACCTCTGTCACTCAGGCCCTCAAAGGGCCAATTCAGCTGACACCCCCCCCCTGCCCCTTTCATCCAACTCAGAGAAGCCTTGAGAAGAGCAGCCTTGATGCCCCCCCTCGCGACAGGCCAAAAGAGCCCCCAGCATCTTTGCTCCCCCAGCCCAGCCCTGTCCCCTCTGCCCGCTGAGCAGGGCCCTTCCTTTCTCTCTCTGTAGAGATGGGTGAGCAGATGAGAGGTGAGGGCAATGACATTCCTGGTTTAGAATCCCCATCCTGGCTTACCTGCCAGGAGGAAGTGCAGCTAAAACTAGCCAGGGTTCCCAGAGATGAGAATCTGGCAATCCAAATCCCAAGGTTGGGTGGGAGGGCGAGAAAGAGCTGAGGGGGCTGGGGAGCGCAGCCAGGACATTGGAGTCCATGGGATATTGGTGGTTTTTTTCAGCCTGGCATCATGGAGGGAATCGATCTCCTTGGGATCCAGACAACACAGGTTCTATAATTGGGGGGGGGGGTGGTTCTTTATCCAGAAAACCACCCAATTCAACTGAACAGAGCTCCTTCCAAGAGGAGAGATTTGTAGTAACAGACCCGTCCCCTTCCTGGTTTCCCCAGGGGAGAAAACCCTGAAAATAATCTTGACTCTCAAGGCAGCATAGTTGCCTCCTTGGCAGCCTCCGGAAAGGGCTTCTAACCCGTTTTTTGCAAAATGCAGCATGTTCAGACAGGGTCCCTTGATCTACGACAAGGTTACAGCCCTAAGGGGGAAAAGGTGTTTTGGAAAGAGGAGCTGTGCAGTTGGGAAGCGTGGGAGACATCTTCCCAGCCGGCTCAGAGGGAGGGTCCTGCCCAACGGTTACTCAGGCTGCCTGCCCGCCCCCCCAGGCAGAGTCTGAACTCATCACGGAAGTGATGCAAGACACATGGCTGAGCACAACCATGAGTCATGGCTCAGTCGCGCCAGCAAAGGTGAGCTCTTTCTGGTAACCCCCTCCACCCTCGTCCTCCACATCTGTCCCGCCAGCTGTTCCTTGCCTACCACACCTCTCAACCCTGCAGCTGCCTTCTCTCTCTTTCTACAAAACACAAAGTCTTTTAAGGACTACAGGGAGGAAAGGCGAGACTTGCGCACTACTTAGAAGAAAAACCCACCGCTGGGCAAGGACCCCCAGATTCCCCTTCATGTCTACAAAGAAATAAACCATTTTTCCTCGGGAAGAAAAAAAACCCAGCAGAGGCTCCTCTGCAAATTCGGTAGCATTTCTCTGGCCTCCTCCCTCCCTCCCTCCCTCCCTCCCTCCCTCCTTTAACCGAGACAAGCTATTTCAAAATAGTCTGCATTCTCTTCCTTATAAGGAATATCTTCCCTGGGATCTATTTGCGGTTCCTTTGAACAAGTTAAATAAACGCCTGGCTGGAATGCTGACTCCCATCTATCGAAAAGCCACAGTGCGGAGGGCGCATCTGAGCCAGATTAGACACAGCAGCCGAGCAGAGACTTTCTGTGGTTCCAAAGTTGAAATTAAGTCAGATTTCTGTTCGGCCGGGCAAAGCCAGCCTTCCCCTAGGAGCTAGACAAGTTAAAGCATCAGAAAGGCTCCCAGCATTTGCTGCTCTGCCCTGTTTATATTTCAGCCCGGGGTTTACTCTTCCTTCGCTCTGGCCTGCCTGCTCTTGCTGTACCTTAAAGCCCCACGTGACCACGGCACTTTCTAGCAGGCCTGGAAGAGCGGCTTCCTTTCCCTTAAAGAGAGTGGTAGTCCTCCGCATGACATCATCTGCTTGGGATGTCTGGCTCTCCCCACCCCCACCCCCACCCCCCCACCTTAAGGGGCCTGCAGCCCAGATTTGGAATGAATAGCAGGGAAGGCTGTGGGGCCGGGAATGCTTGAGGGCTACAGCCATGGGACGATTTAATACTTAAGACAGGTGGGTGGGGGAGAGAGCTCTCTCCCTCTTCCATATAAAGTGCTGAGCTATATATAACCCCCACCCACCGGGTCTCTGGATCCGGCCCCAGCCTGGACTGATTGCCGACCCAGCAACTATCCCCTCCTTGGCACGTCAAGAAGCCTCTTGGCACGCCTTGGGCATCAAGCATCAGCGGCCTATCTTTGCACCTTAAGGCCTCCGCGTTTGTCCTCTGGGTACCTTTTCCCACAGGAGGACAAGCACGGGAATCTCGGCTCAAGGACTCAATAGATCTGCTGGCCCAGACGAGCACTTTCACGACTGGGGGGGCTTTGGGGTCTCGTACAAGCATCGGAACCCCTGTCCATTTTCAAGGATTTGGCACTGGGAGAAAGATGGGGTTTTTTTTTTTTACACCTGAGGGCTCTGGCCCCATCCCCAAAAGAGCTTCAGGTAAGGCTCCTAGTAACCCAGCAGGACAGCTCTCCGCAGCTTCCTTGGCAACAACAACACGCATCTGGACAGGCAGGAACTACTCCAATGCCCAGGATTCTTAGCTGATGGATGGCACATCTCATGCAGAGGCCCCCCTGAGTCCCTGCCCACCCAATCCTGGCAGGGGGGCCTGATCCCCACAGCTGGTGGTGAGTCCAGCAGGCAGAGAAGTTGAGTGACCAGAAGAGGCAGAAAGGTGGGGGCACATGCTCATGGGGGGGGATTAGAGAAGTACTCACATCTGCAGCTTTCTTCTCTGCCACCTCCAGCTTCTCCTGGGCGTCTTTCAGGGACTCTGAATATTTGTCCAGCTCATCTTCGGTGCCCTTCAGCTTCTTTTGCAGAGACACCAACTCATCTTCCAACTGCCCGAAGATTGGGAAGGGGGGTGTGTGTGGTGAGGGGAAGGGGGGAAGGGAAGGAAAGGGGGTGCAGCAGGCAACGCAGTGGCGTGAAGAAGAAGAGGTGCAGAAGGACAGAGGGAGGAAGACAGGAGAGAAAAAGGTTAGCGCATCCGGAGAGGCTACCTTGGTGGCCTTCTCGTCCGCAGTGAGGAGGCTGTCCTCGGCGCTATGCAGCTCCTCCAGGACCCGGTCCCTCTCGTCCTCCGAGACCCGCAGTTGCTTTTCCAACTGCACAATGTCGTCCTCTAACTAGCCCCCCAGGGCCAGAGGCAAAAAGAGGAGGAAACACTTTTTATCTCCCACAATCCGGCCTTCTCTCCCATCTCCCCCCTCCCCAGGGCTGCCTTCACAGCCACAATTGTGTGACCCCAGAGGAGGGGGGAAGCAGCTATACTTGGGGGAAGCCTATTGCAGGAATAGGGCCACTTGTAAGAGTCGGAAGGTCCCTGCCTGGAGACAGACAAGCCACGGAGGACCAGGCCAGCTGACTGCCCGAGTCAGTCACCTTCCTGGACTTTTGGTGAAGCCCCAGAGCCTGATCCAGGCCAGGTTCCCCCCACCCCAAAAGCTGGCATCATCCAGCTATTTTGGGCTACAGCCTCAAATCCCAGCTGTTTGAGTTGGGAATGACTGGAGGTGTAGTCCCAACACATCTGCAAGGCATCAAGTTGGGAAGGCTTAAATTGGCCGCAACCTGGTGCAACTAATGAGACCCCCCAGGGAGGAGTCTGAACTTCCGAGAGCCCCCCACGAAACGGGGGTCGGGGGGGGCATCCCCACCAACGAGGCTCTAACCAACTCCACTACTTTCTCTCGGGAACAACCAGCCCGGTTCCATTCAACAAACTCTCTGGGATCCAGGATCCCCAATTCACAGCGGGGGGGGGGGGCGGCCGGGACAAAGACTCAGCCCAGCCCAGGGAGGGCAACGGCAGTCCCCCCCCCCTTCGCGCTCTTCCAAAGCCCCGCCGAGCGAGATGCTGGGCTGCCTCCCAATGCCCGAAGCGGGGCGTGGGGGGCGCGCAGAAGGACCCCCATCTCAGACGCCGCCGCCGGCTCCTCTTTCGGGGCGGGGGGGGCAGCAAGACTGCCCTGTCCCCTTCGCGAGGCCGGGGCGTCCGGAGCGAGCTAGGGTCCCGGGCGCCCCCCTGGCTGCTCCTTCCCGGGGGCCGGGCGGGCAGGCGGGGCGGCCCACCTGCTTGCTGCGCTCCTCGGCGGCCTTCTTGTCGGCCTCGGCTTGCTCGGCGCGGTCCAGCGCGTTCTCCTTGTCCAGCTTCAGCATCTGCATCTTCTTCTTGATGGCGTCCATGGCGGCGGCGGGGCAGTTAGCAAAAGTCCGTCGAGGAGGAGGAGGAGGAGGAAGAGGCGGCGGCGGAGCTGCGCTGGGACGGTCGACCTGGCCGGAGTGCGAGCAGCTCCGCGGCGGCCGCGGGCGGATAAGTACCCTCGCGGGGCGGGGGGGGGCGCCGCATTCCGCCGGGCAGCCAATGCTTTTTTGGGAAAGGGCCCCGCGCGCGCCGCCCCCTCCGCCCGCGCCCGCCCCGCGCCCGCCCCGCCGGCCCTCGCCGATGCCTAAAGAAGGGCAGGACGCGGCGGCCTCCCTCGCAGGGCTGGCGCCGCCGCCGCCGCCGCCGCCACTGCCGGCCCGAGCTCCCAGGACCGGGGGGGGGGACAACGCCGCCCTGGGCAGAGGCAGTCTACCCGACGACGCGCGAGAGAAGCAAAGGCGGGCGAGGGGGGCGCCTCCCCGTCGCCTGCCGGTTCCTCCTCCGGCGCCCACCGAGGACCAGCAGCTTCGCTTGGGAGGGGGGAGGAGGAGGAGGAGGCGCCCCGGCGCTGCAGCGGGGCCCCGGCGGTGGGCTGCCCCCCCCCCGCCTGATCAGCTCTACTCGGAAGGAAGGGCCGAGCCAGGAGGGGCAGCGCCAGCCCTGTTGCCAGTTCCAGCCGCAGCGGCGTCGGGGTGCTGCCCCTTCCCTTCACCTACCCCAAAGGTGGAAGTGGGGCCCTGGTTACCAAGTGGCCTCCCCCCCAGCTGCTTCTTGTGGTTGCCGATTGGCCGGATTCACACGACGGGCTGCAGAGGAGGTCAGTCTCTCAGGGCGGACGGCCCTTCACCGAGGCAGCCCTCCAAGCTTTCTGAGTCGGCTCGCCATGGGGTTCACACCGCACGCTAAACTTCCCCTGGGATTGCTGCCTGCGACTACTGAGTCTTTCTAAGCCAGCACTTTTTGGACATAACAACTTTAAGATGTGTGGACTTCAACTCCCAGCATGCTGGCTGGGAATTCTGGGAGTTGAAGTCCATAGATCTTAAAGCAGCCGACTTGGAAACACTCCCTTCTAACCCGCTGCCACCCGAGCTGCTCACTTGCCTTCCAACCTGCAGGTTCCCAGGAACCCCTGACCGGAAGCAGCCCAGCCTCACTCAGCAAATGCAGACTCTTGGCTAAGTGAGCCAGGCTCTATGCCAGCCACGGGGCAAGGTGGGCGAGTGTGGATTCTGGGCACTGGAAAGCATGGCTGCACTCCAGGGAAGCAGCTCTGGGATCCCTTCCCTCTTCCCTGCTGCTCTCCCTGCCCAAACAGGTCCCTTAACCCAGCGGTCCCCAACCCCTGGTCCGTGGACCTGTACTGGGCCGCGGCATACCAGCAACGGGTCCGCACAAACAAGCAAATGCAGGATGCAGGCAGCACGCAAAACCACACACTCTGCGGTCCGTGGAAAAATCTTTCTCTGCAGAACCGGTCCCTGGTAGCCAAAAGGTTGGGTACCCCTGCCTTAACCCGCCTGCCTGGCGGTGCCGACTTGACTGCATCCTCTGAGCCACAACAGCCTTTCCCCAGTGCCCACAGGTTTTCTTTAGCAGAGCCAGGGCCAGTTTTCACAAATGGCTCTCAACCCGGAAAAATGTTTCTTGTAAGTTTAAGATTCATCCTCAGAGGAGTTAATTATCTTCCCATCTAATGATTTTGCAGGCATCCTACCTGCCCGGAAGGCAAAAAGGCCAAAACATTTACTCATACTGGGTTGCAACAGGAAATCCCCTCTGAGAACAATTGGTTGGATCTGCATAAGGATCCAGGGGAACTTGTGTTTGTTAGAGGTTGCTAAATTATACGTTATTAAACGCAGGCTTAGTAAGTCCCAAGGCGTTGTGCATTCCTTGCTTAGCTCCCTTCTTGATGGTGCCAAAAATTCGCAACCTGGATTTGGGCTAGAAAAGGTGGGGGCCACCAGGCCCTCTTAAGGTGGTCTTCCTTATTGGGCCACAGTCCATGACAAGGGGCGAGCTGGACTCCCCGTCCGTAGGGTGCCTTCAGATTCCCCTGGTGACCATCTCTGCCATTGCACCTGCTTTCAGCTGTGCAAAATACTAAAGGAGTAATTGGGGATGGTGGACTACCAGGAGATCTAGAGCATGCAAACACAGTTAAGAACCCCAAACAAACATCCCATTAAAGGAGCAAGCAGTGATTTCCAGGATGTTGCCAAAGTGAAATAGGTGCGTCTGTGAGTCATGGGGGGGGGGGGCTCAACAAGGGGGGGGCTGTTGCAGCGCACTCAAGCATGCCCACCTGGAGGGATCCCTGTAGAGGAATGGAAGGTCCTCCTTGGGAGGGTGGAAGAGGGAAAGCAGCTGGCCAGGACCAGGGGAAGGTTCAGGGAGCAGAAGAAAACAAGCTTTGTTGGGTTTTCCTTTGCCTCCCCTAATTCCAGCTGTGCCAGAGGCAGCCATGGGTGTGTCACTCAGGATGGGAAAACAGAAGCTGATCCCAAGGATGATTCAGTCCACAAGGGCGAATCCTGCTCCTGAAAAACATCCACCACCAAAGTGGTGCAGCAGCCGGGCAGGATCCCTCCTCCCAGGACCATCCGCCACCCGGTGGGTCTTCTCGTGGCCATGATCCACGGCTTCTCTGGAGGAAGCCTCTTCCTGTGGCTGTGCCAACCCTTGAATCTTGGTGCTGTTTTTTAAACCTTCCATGGAAAAGTCCTTAAGCGGGAGACGTGCCTGGCGCCTGCCAAAAGCAGGGCAAGGAACCGCTGGCCCCAGGCCTTCCTTCCACCCTGCGATGCTGAGCAGCCCCTTTCAGGCACCAGTGCTGGGGGGGGCTTCAGAGCTCGGGTCTCTGGCCTCCTCCAAAGCTGCTCCCTCCCTCCCTCCCTTCGAGGCCTCTGGGCGAAAAGGCACTTTTGGTAGCCTGCAAAAGCTGCATCCGGTTTGGCCTCCCTCCCGTCCTGCTCCGTGCAAGGGGGTTGTCTGCAGCCGGGAACCAACCGGGACCTGGCTGACTCTGGGGAAGCTGCTCCGAATGCCAGAGGAGGCTCTTCTGCATCCCAGGCTTGCTGATGTTGGTCCATGAAGGTTAAAAGGAGGACTTGCAGAGAGACGTGGCGCCTCAAGCTTTTGCAGCCCCTCGAGGCTGCTGTGGCCGAGTGAGCGGGGGGGGGGGCAGGAGACCAAGGGAGCTGCTCCCTCTCTTTGCTGGGCAGGGCTCCTTGTCTGAATGGGACCCCACTCCTCAACTCTTTGTGGCATGGGAAATTCCAAACTCTGGTTATCAGGCCCTTCCCCCCCCCCCTTCATTTGGGAACATCACACAATTGTGCCAAGGTGGCTCTGCCCCTGGCTTCTCCTGTATCCTCCCTGGCTGTGCAGCGCAGACATCCTGCTACTGCCGGGATGGGCAGGTTCCACCAGTTCTGGGCCAAGGATTTTCCGACTGACTAAGCATTTTGTGTCGGTCTTGGCCCATGACTGGTTTTAAAAACCTTTGATTGTGGGCTGCTTCCAGAGGCCCATGACCTGTACAAACAAATGCAGGTGGGAGAAGAAAAAAGTGAGATGAGGAATCCCATGAAATCCCACCAACCTTTTGAAGACCTTTTCCTTGCCTCTTGGTTGAAGATGATGAGAACAAATAGACTTCTCCTGATTCCTTGACTACATCCCGTGTTCAAAATGACCACAATCCTTAAAAGGCCAATAAATCCATCTGTGGAGAAGATCAAAGGCATCTTCAGCAAGCAGACTCTTAGCCAGTCCCTCAAATTTCAAAGCTGTAACGATGACCAGAAAATTGTACCAGAATTAACCGAGGTTCTCCATTTTTTTGTCCCCCAGAAAGCAGCCAGTCTGGGGCGCATCCTGGGCCTAAAAATGGCAATCTTGAACGCTGGGTGTCCTTGGACCCAGCTCCCCTTCAGAGGGACCCTGCATTTGGTTCAGAGGCTCAGCCTCAGGACAGTGACCTGTGGCCTCCAGGAATGGATGGAACATCTGCCCGGCTTTCCCCTCTCCCTTTTTTCTTTGCTTGAATGAAGGCATGGAGGGAGCATGACTGCTGGTGCAGAAAAATCCAGACAAGAAGTGGGGATTCCCTCAGGGGATAAGGTAACACCCGAAGCCCATCTGCCCTCCAAATGCCAAATCCCCCCCCCTGAAAGCCCAACCAACCTCCTCTTCCTGCAGAGGACTGCTCGGTCCATCTTTGCGCAGGCTGCCCCCCCTCCCCCCACACCACATGGTGGGGTTAATGGCAGAGAAAAGCAGTTTTGGGGGCAGACTCCTGGGAGGCAGGCGCAGAGGTGCCCAGTGGGCAGAGGCCGCCCAGGTTCTGCTGGGAGGCTTCTGGAGGACCATGCTGGAGGCAGGGCTGGGGGGGAGCAGCTTGGTCCATCCCCGAGCAGTTCAACCAAGCGCTCCCAAGAAGGGCTCAGGGCTTGAATATGGACAAAGCTCTGTGCAAACCAGCAAGTTTGGCCTTCCGAAAAGACGTCTCCTTCTTGCCTGTTCAGTTTCTTGGGGATATTTATAGCCCAACTTGGCGCACCTGCCCAAGGCTGTAACTCAAGAGGGTGGCTCAGATGCCAAGGCGAGGCAGAGCAGCAGCACGTTGAGCCAGCCCTGAAATAAGCAGGGAGGAGTCGGTGGACTCAGGAGGTGCCCTTCTCAAGCAGGCCTTTCAAGCGGGTCTCTTTGGCCAGAAAGGGGAGCTGCAGACCCCACAGATCTTCCCTCCAGAATTTTACCTGCAGCACAAAAGCTTCTGGGGGAAATAGGGCAGGTCGCCCTCCACCCAAGGCCTGGAACAATTTTATTTTAACTCTCATCCTGTCATGCCTCTGCGGCTTCAGTTCAGGGGAAGGGATTATGTTACAAGCATCTAAAGATGCTTGCAGGGGGCTAAAGATGTTCCATTTGGAAGATTAATGGCTGGCAGCCCAGGGCTCCTTCTTCAGCTTCCTCTTGAGGAGGTGGCAGGCTGGAAGAAATCAGCGGGGCTGGTGCCACCCAGAGACAGGAGCCCGGAATGACTCCCCTAGAAAAGCCACCAGATGCATCCCCAAAT